CACAAGTATAGTGTGTCAACACAGGTATAGTGTGTAAACACAGGTATAGTGCATCAACACAAGTATAGTGTGTCAACACAAGTATAGTGTGTCAACACAGGTATAGTGCGTCAACACAGGTATAGTGTGTAAACACAGGTATAGTGTGTAAACACAGGTATAGTGTGTCAACACAAGTATAGTGCATCAACACAGGTATAGTGTGTAAACACAGGTATAGTGTGTAAACACAGGTATAGTGTGTCAACACAAGTATAGTGTGTAAACACAGGTATAGTGTGTCAACACAGGTATAGTGTGTAAACACAAGTATAGTGCATCAACACAGGTATAGTGTGTAAACACAGGTATAGTGTGTCAACACAAGTATAGTGCATCAACACAGGTATAGTGTGTAAACACAGGTATAGTGTGTCAACACAGGTATAGTGTGTCAACACAGGTATAGTGTGTCAACACAGGTATAGTGTGTAAACACAAGTATAGTGTGTAAACACAGGTATAGTGTGTCAACACAAGTATAGTGTGTAAACACAGGTATAGTGCATCAACACAGGTATAGTGCATCAACACAGGTATAGTGTGTCAACACAGGTATAGTGCATCAACACAGGTATAGTGTGTGTGTCAACACAGGTATAGTGCATCAACACAGGTATAGGTATAGTGCATCAACACAGGTATAGTGTGTCAACACAGGTATAGTGTGTCAACACAGGTATAGTGTGTAGTATAGTGTGTCAACACAGGTATAGTGTGTCAACACAGGTATAGTGCATCAACACAGGTATAGTGTGTCAACACAGGTATAGTGCGTCAACACAGGTATAGTGTGTCAACACAGGTATAGTGTGTCAACACAAGTATAGTGCATCAACACAGGTATAGTCAACACAGGTATAGTGTGTCAACACAGGTATAGTGTGTCAACACAAGTATAGTGTGTCAACACAAGTATAGTGCATCAACACAGGTATAGTGCATCAACACAGGTATAGTGCATCAACACAGGTATAGTGCATCAACACAGGTATAGTGTGTCAACACAGGTATAGTGTGTCAACACAGGTATAGTGTGTCAACACAGGTATAGTGTGTCAACACAGGTATAGTGCATCAACACAGGTATAGTGTGTCAACACAGGTATAGTGTGTCAACACAGGTATAGTGCATCAACACAGGTATAGTGTGTCAACACAGGTATAGTGTGTAAACACAGGTATAGTGTGTCAACACAAGTATAGTGTGTAAACACAGGTATAGTGTGTCAACACAGGTATAGTGCATCAACACAGGTATAGTGTGTCAACACAGGTATAGTGTGTCAACACAGGTATAGTGCATCAACACAAGTATAGTGTGTCAACACAGGTATAGTGCATCAACACAAGTATAGTGCATCAACACAGGTATAGTGTGTCAACACAGGTATAGTGCATCAACACAGGTATAGTGCATCAACACAGGTATAGTGCATCAACACAGGTATAGTGCATCAACACAGGTATAGTGCATCAACACAGGTATAGTGCATCAACACAGGTATAGTGCATCAACACAGGTATAGTGTGTCAACACAGGTATAGTGCATCAACACAGGTATAGTGTGTCAACACAGGTATAGTGCATCAACACAGGTATAGTGTGTCAACACAGGTATAGTGCATCAACACAGGTATAGTGTGTCAACACAGGTATAGTGCATCAACACAGGTATAGTGTGTCAACACAGGTATAGTGCATCAACACAAGTATAGTGTGTCAACACAGGTATAGTGCATCAACACAGGTATAGTGTGTCAACACAGGTATAGTGCATCAACACAAGTATAGTGTGTCAACACAGGTATAGTGCATCAACACAGGTATAGTGTGTCAACACAGGTATAGTGTGTCAACACAGGTATAGTGCATCAACACAGGTATAGTGTGTCAACACAGGTATAGTGCATCAACACAAGTATAGTGCATCAACACAGGTATAGTGTGTCAACACAGGTATAGTGTGTCAACACAGGTATAGTGTGTCAACACAGGTATAGTGCGTCAACACAGGTATAGTGTGTCAACACAGGTATAGTGCATCAACACAGGTATAGTGTGTCAACACAGGTATAGTGCATCAACACAGGTATAGTGCATCAACACAGGTATAGTGCATCAACACAGGTATAGTGTGTCAACACAAGTATAGTGCATCAACACAAGTATAGTGTGTCAACACAGGTATAGTGCATCAACACAGGTATAGTGTGTCAACACAGGTATAGTGGTATAGTGTGTCAACACAGGTATAGTGCATCAACACAGGTATAGTGTGTCAACACAAGTATAGTGTGTCAACACAGGTATAGTGCATCAACACAGGTATAGTGTGTATAGTGTGTCAACACAGGTATAGTGTGTCAACACAAGTATAGTGTGTCAACACAGGTATAGTGCATCAACACAGGTATAGTGTGTCAACACAAGTATAGTGTGTAAACACAGGTATAGTGCATCAACACAGGTATAGTGTGTCAACACAGGTATAGTGTGTCAACACAAGTATAGTGTGTCAACACAGGTATAGTGCATCAACACAGGTATAGTGTGTCAACACAGGTATAGTGTGTCAACACAGGTATAGTGCATCAACACAAGTATAGTGTGTCAACACAGGTATCAACACAGGTATAGTGTGTCAACACAGGTATAGTGCATCAACACAGGTATAGTGCATCAACACAGGTATAGTGCATCAACACAGGTATAGTGTGTCAACACAAGTATATCAACACAGGTATAGTGCATCAACACAGGTATAGTGCATCAACACAGTATAGTGCATCAACACAGGTATAGTGCATCAACACAAGTATAGTGCGTCAACACAGGTATAGTGCATCAACACAAGTATAGTGCGTCAACACAGGTATAGTGCATCAACACAGGTATAGTGCATCAACACAAGTATAGTGCATCAACACAAGTATAGTGCATCAACACAGGTATAGTGCATCAACACAGGTATAGTGCATCAACACAGGTATAGTGCATCAACACAGGTATAGTGCATCAACACAGGTATAGTGCATCAACACAGGTATAGTGCATCAACACAGGTATAGTGCATCAACACAGGTATAGTGCATCAACACAGGTATAGTGCATCAACACAGGTATAGTGTGTCAACACAAGTATAGTGCATCAACACAGGTATAGTGCATCAACACAGGTATAGTGCATCAACACAGGTATAGTGCATCAACACAGGTATAGTGCATCAACACAAGTATAGTGTGTCAACACAGGTATAGTGTGTCAACACAGGTATAGTGCATCAACACAAGTATAGTGTGTCAACACAGGTATAGTGTGTCAACACAGGTATAGTGTGTCAACACAGGTATAGTGTGTCAACACAAGTATAGTGCGTCAACACAGGTATAGTGTGTCAACACAAGTATAGTGCATCAACACAGGTATAGTGCATCAACACAGGTATAGTGTGTCAACACAAGTATAGTGTGTCAACACAAGTATAGTGCGTCAACACAGGTATAGTGTGTCAACACAGGTATAGTGTCTCAACACAAGTATAGTGCATCAACACAGGTATAGTGCATCAACACAGGTATAGTGTGTCAACACAAGTATAGTGTGTCAACACAGGTATAGTGCATCAACACAGGTATAGTGCATCAACACAGGTATAGTGTGTCAACACAAGTATAGTGTGTCAACACAAGTATAGTGTCTCAACACAAGTATAGTGCGTCAACACAAGTATAGTGTGTCAACACAAGTATAGTGCGTCAACACAGGTATAGTGCATCAACACAGGTATAGTGCGTCAACACAGGTATAGTGCATCAACACAGGTATAGTGCATCAACACAGGTATAGTGCGTCAACACAGGTATAGTGCATCAACCCAGGTCCCGTACATAGTACATCAACCCAAGTACAGTGCATCAACCCCGGTCCTGTTCATTTAACAAACACATAAGCACTACTGTGAACTTCACTTAAATGGAAACGAAGCCAGCAACAAGGCGTAAAGTTGCATTAAAAACGCCTTCATAGCAATGGAATAATCAATCGCGACGTTCACCATTGCAATTATATAAATATTGGTGTGTGTGTAGGGGAAGGGGGAAGCGTGCAATATTGGTGGCGGCTGCACTGTACGGGGGTTAAATGCAAGGTAGAGGAATGTGGTGTAGTGTGGTGCTGTAGTGTCACCAGGATAACCTCTACACTACACTATACACAATTCCTCCAGAGGCTTTGATTCAGTAGAGAGCGAGAACACACTCAAAAGACTGTTGCCAACCACACACACGCAACCTGCCTCAAGCATGTTGCTACTGCCAAGGCTCCTCCTCCCTATCACTTGCAGGTCACCACACCCCCCCACCACCACCACCACCGTCAAGCTGACGCCCCCCCACACCACACTCAGGTGGGATATAGTGTCAATGACGCACAATTAAAATAAATACCATAACTTGTGGAGGGGTAACCCCCTCTCTAGCCGCACCTCCTCACCACACATTGGCGGGGTGGATATTTTCGCGACTAACCTACAACAGGTGTCTGCACATTGGCCGGTGTTCTGTTTACCAACTCACTAAGTCAATTGACTCACAGTCACAATAACCTGCGTCTCGTCGACTTTATAAACAGAGCAATGGGAGAAAAAAGCTAAATTTGTTGCAGGTCTGATTAAATATTTTCCATAAAGTTGGGCATGTCATAATTTACAAATATTGACATGGCTAGAGGTGTACATAAATATAAACCCGTTATTTCACCAAGACTTGCACTGCGTGGTCTCACAAAATGCCTAATTTCTCAATATGTGGCTATTTGCGCACCGACCCCTTCCAGCCCTCCATTTATCGGCGTTCTCTTCCTCCATTTCTCTCGCCTCCCTCCTCCGTCCCCTGATCTAGTTTCGATTTTCTCCCCATTTCTCGTCTGTTCGTGCGCCTCTCGGGTTCTTTCACTTACCTTCTGGTGCTCTGAGGAATTTTGCATTGATTTCACTACTACGTCATGGCGAACACAAATAAAATCACTTAATTTTCCGAGTGTGTCCCACTCACCTTCTTTCTTGTTCGCTTTCCTGGTCTTCCACAGGGACAGATAGACCAGAGAAAACCTGGAGCCGGCCGCCGGGTTCTTCTCTTTTTCTACTTCCTTATTTCCCTATGTTCCAATAATGTTCCATGCCAGCCACTCGCAGGTATTTGGGGGTAAATATTCTACGTTTTAAGGTTTTTCTTTATATAATGATAATCTATATGTATTTAATTTAAGTTTCTTTCGAAATAACTCTACAAGTTGAATACTTTAATGATGAAAGTAAGGAATAGAGAGTAAAGTTTGAAGTATTAAACGTTGTCAGCAGAATACGCACTAAATTTCGTTTTCCGTTTAGCTGTTGAGATACCATAGATATATTAATTTCGAGTTTGTTTCTTGTTTTTGAATACCATTGTTCCTGTTTATTTAATAGATTTCACAAAAGTAATTTAATTAAGGCGATATCTTATTTAAATGTTAAATATTAGTAGTAAAATTGTTATTATATATGTGTGTAAGATGAGACATCTGGCGCTTGACGGAGCCCGATGCAGAGGTGTCAGAGCCTCCAATATGCGAAACTTAATATTGTTTGTTATCTACCTGTTTGCTCAGTTGCATGCGTCAAGCAAAGGGAAAGATATATTGTAAATAAGACGAGGATGCATACAGGGACACGTATATATGAGATGGGAGTAGGTTGGGTGGGGATATAAGAGGAAGGGGAGGAGCTGCGTGCGTGGGGTGGTGGAGGGGAGGCTGGGGCCGCAGTGTGAGTGTGGGCTTGAGTCGTGAGGGCAGGGGAAGTGTGTACCAACCTCACCATGAGCACCTCCACTTAAGGTAGGAACACTACACGCGCCTTGCATATCCTCTCCCTCATACTGGATGGATATGTAACTCATTATTTCTACAAGGTAAATTGAGGTGTTTCCGTCATGTGACGTGCGCGCTAACCTACATGCATAGGCCTAAATCTTTTGCTCAATTCCAAAATTTGGCAAAATGGCGGATAAATGTATGTTGAAAGTTGTTATTTTTATGTAATGCATAAATAATGCACTTACGTACTGAGTGTAAAATACACTTTCGTTACTCACCAATGGTAACAAAATCGAAACACGTATATGATCGGAGCGCCTAATCGTCGGACCTGGAAAACCGAGGGGGTGGGGATGTGACGGTGCCTAAGCGTGATAAAGGTACCCCTACACAGTTTCCCCCTAAAGTGTAACAAATGCATTTGTGACTTCTCTCGTTAATAACGAAATACACACGAAGAAAAGTCTTCCGCGAGAAAGGAAAATTGATGTAAATGTATCAAATTAAAATTGTGAATTTGACAAAATGCGATATTAGAGGAAAGACGTTGAGTACATGGAAGTGTCTGGCAAGATGTGCATTGTGGGTGCGGAACAGTCGGCGCTGAAGCCTCATTTACCATGTGGACACCAAGCAGTGAGGGTCGTGGCTGCTCCTTGTAGCATTGCCTTAGTGATGGTGTTTAAGTGACAACTAATACTGCAGTGTGCTCTCAAATAACGTGTTGTGATTATGTGCTGGTGAAGGTCGTGTGTTACCCATCAAGGAATACAGACGGTGAGATTTAAGAATATTTGGTTTTGGAAATAGAATCAAATGAAACATTAAAACTATATATATATATATATATATATATATATATATATATATATATATATATAATATATTATACATATGGTGCATTCATTATTATACATGTTTGTCTGCAGGTCACACACACACACACACACACACACACACACACACACACACACACACACACACACACACACACACACACACACACACACACACACACACTCACACTCACACTCACACTCACACTCACACACAATACGATGTAGTGGAGGCCGACTCCATGCACAGTTTCAAATGTAGATATGATAGAGCCCAGTAGGCTCAGGAATCTGTACACCAGTTGATTGACAGTTGAGAGGCGGGACTAAAGAGCCGAAAGCTCAACCCCCGCAAGCACAACTAGGAGAGTACACAAACACAATATTGATTACAATATTTATAATATACGATTTACGAACATTTAATGTCCATAAGCCTGTGTTGCTTATTGAGTGATTGTGTTGGCGGAGGAGATGAGGTGGGTGGAGCAAGACTAGGCCTAAGGTAGATAAGAAGTGCCCACCGCCTGGCTGATGGTGAAGGACACTATAGGGTGACTCGGCCCATATTATCACTCCGCGTCCCGCCCTACACTAGGCTCTTGAGCCTCACTTCATTCACACCAAAACAGTTAGAATATAATGACGAAAACATTGTAGCTCTTTTAGAATATAATGACGAATACAATGTAGCTCTAACCTGCAGTCATAATTTTTTTATATAAGAAATGCAACTTATGCATACAATTAATTGCTTGGTGATGCGTCACCTGAGATGCTAGACTATAGAACACTTCGCACAAAAGATAGTTTAGCAACGGGTCGTAAAACGCAGTTAACAGACGTAACGTAGCCATGCCTAACACTAAATATATCATTAATGACTTAAAGAAACGACGACATGTGCGAGATGCCTCAATACTATTTAAGCAGACCAATAAATGCAGGATGAAGATGGTTTGTGACGGTTGCTACACGTGTGTGGGTAGGCCTATGATTGCAAGTAGGCCTCCCAACAGTGGTGCAGTGCTGGAGTAGATTTATATATATATTTATATGTTCACCACCTCCTACTCACCCTGGGAGGAACATCAGTGTCAAGGCCGCACTTATGGAGTGGCCAGTTGCTGGCCAGCTGGGAGGTGAATGAATTCTGGTTTATAGATACAATGTGGATTCACATTTTTACAAATTTTGTTATATAAATGATACATAAGACAGCAATAGTTTGGCAGTAAAGTTGTGGATGAACGGGACTTTATCCTACTGACAAGTAGTGTCTAGTGAAGTTCAACAAAATATAATGGTTTAAGATGGCATTGAACTCATACACCAGTTAAAATATGTAACTTATTATATATATGTATACCTATAGACATAAAATATGGTGGCAAACTTTACAAATTGGCTACACCTGCCTTTTTTCAGGCCAAATTCGCAGTATATTAGGTTGTAATTTTCAAATGCCACAAATGAATTTAATATTATCCAAAAAGATCCGTGGATGTCAGATTGATGGTCCTGTTGCGCAGTGGGTTGTCCTCGGTTACAACTGAGGGTCCCGGGTTCGATCCCCGGCCGGAACAGACGGTTGAACACGTTTCCTTTCACCTGAAGGCTCTTTTCACCCAACAGTAAAAATGGAACCCGGAGTTAAGCAACCGTCCTGGGTTGTAGGGAAGGTTGCCAATATAGTTAGGCCTAGGAGGGAACCTTGATTAGCCTCGCAGGCTTCCTGTCCCCGACTGTGGGAAACCATGAGGTGAATCATGAAACTACATCATGTCAGGTTAAAATAATAATTATGACGTAGCACGGTTAGGCTTCGAGCTTTTTTTTAATTAACCATATATTTATCTATCATTTAGGCCTACTGTTCCTAAGCTAAATAAGCGCTTTAATATATCAAGGTAACACCAATAACCTTTATCTTCAGTAATATTGACCAGCCTCACGTTAACCTGTGGTCAATATTACTGATTATTGCAAATCCCCGGCAACATTTTTTTGGGGGAAGGGGCACCCTTTTTCTGTAATAATTACATGTCGGGGGCCTGACAGCTGTGTGGACAGCGCTTCGGATACGTAGTCCTGAGGTTCCGGGTTCGATCCCCGGTGGAGTTGGAAACAAATGGCCAGTTTCTGTCACCCTGTTGCCTTTGTTACCTAGCAGTAAATAGGTACCTGGGAGTTAGACAGTTGCTACGAGCTGCTTCCTGGGGGTGTGTAACAGAAAGGAGGCCTGGTCGAGGACCGGGCCGCGGGGACGCTAAGCCCCGAAATCATCTCATCTCATGATAACCATATTCGCGGCGTGTGTTGAAATTTAATCATTATCCGAAGTTATTTTTGGTATGATTATTAACAGGTTGAGGCGGGCGCTGGTAGCAAGCAGTAGTGTGTGAGGCCCAGCACCGGTGTGACAGTTATGACAGCCTAGTGACGCCACACCTCCTGCACGCCATGTATAAAACAACCATTTTATCACATTTTCCTTACGGGCTCGCCATAGCCCGTGCTACATGGACATTTCGTTCCGAGTAGCTAAATCTAAAACATCATTATCACATTTTCGCATTTTTTCATCACAATCTGAGTTATCTTGAGATCTTGAGGTTATCTTGAGATGATTTCGGGGCTTTTTTTAGTGTCCCCGCGGCCCGGTCCTCGACCAGGCCTCCACTAAAGAGAAAGAGTAGCTAAATCTAAAACATCATCATCGCATCACGTTGGGTTAGAATAGGTGTACTTAAAACAGTAACAATGACGTCAAGGGGTACTCGGGTTTAAGAGCCTACTCATGCTAACCTTCATTACAGCCGCACTAGGCTACTCCACTTCTGTACTAGACCTACTGGCCCAATTGCTCTCACCCATGTATCCTATTTTTTCAAAACTAAAGATACTTTCGTTAATAATGTTAGCCTAATTGTTTCACGCGTTTATAAATCTTGTCGAGCCAATATATTGAGCTTCCCCCTTTTTTTTTTTTACACAAAATGCGTTCGAGTCTGTTGATACGATTTCTATTTTCATTTAATAGTTGCAATCTTATGTATTGCATTTATCCTTTTATTTACCGGTACTCTACAACTGATCTACCCCAAATGCAACCCATAATAGTTCCCTAACTCCCGGGAACTTTGGCATATCGAGGTACCTACACAGTACTGACCTGCTCCAGGAGGCAACCCACAACTATTGCATAACTCAAGGGGACCTATTTATTGCTAGATGAACAGAGGCATCAGGTGGAAGGAAACTTGCCCAGCCATTTGTTCCCGCCGGGGATAGAACCCGGGATCCTGGATCGTGAATCAAGGACGTGTCTGCCCTTCGTTCAGCGGCATCCACCGGTGGTGTATTAACGTTCCCCTCGTTCAGTGGCGTCCACCGGTGGTGTACTAACGATCCCCTCGTTCAGCGGCGTCATGGGCGCTATACTCACGTTCCCCTCCTTCGGCGGCGTCCATCGGTGGTATACTAACGTTCCCCTCGTTCAGCGGCGTTCACCGGTGCTGTACTCGTGTTCCCCTCGTTCAGCGGCGTCCACCGGTGCTGTACTCGTGTTCCCCTCGTTCAGCGGCGTCCACCGGTGCTGTACTCACGTTTCCCCTCGTTCAGCGGCGCCCACCGGTGGTGTAGTAACGTTCCCCTCGTTCAGCGGCGCCCACCGGTGGTGTAGTAACGTTCCCCTCGTTCAGCGGCGTCCACCGGTGGTGTTCCCCACGTTCTGTGCATATAGTGTCCATTCCATGGTGCCGCTACCCAAACTGCCCAATATAACCCAAGCCTTGATATATACGCCCAAGTATCGTGTTAGCCTTATTGTGTACATAAATATGTTCCTTTCTTGCTTTTTAGGTCTTTACCAATCACTACACTCGGATTACATTTCCAGGGGACTGGCATATGTTTTACAAAACCTTTGTGCATTAACTGGTGGGGCAGCGTTGAATTTATTTAAACGCACACGTTCTGTCCCTCAGGCAAAATAAATACAGTACACCTTTGAGCCTGAGTTGGTGGAAGCAGCCATTAATTACAGCTTAAAAACAAGTATATGTCACAAGAACATCGGGATAATAAAGGTACCGAGTAGGAGGATGTACCGCCTCAGTGTACCACCTTAAGGAGTACAATAACATGGGAGACGCACATCACTGTAGGAGACGAAAAAGTGGAAGATATGATCACATACACAACCCAGCGGGTTTTCTTCCTATTGGGGAGTGTTGTACATGCTGCTATGGCGGTGTGTCCACTCACAAGATGAGTGGCGCTGCCCAATAAACTCACCCCTCGGGGCAAAATTTAATTTGCATGGGTGATGTACGAACAAGTGGACACAGGCAGGACGTTAGTTCCCGAATGAGGCACGGAGACAAAAATAATAAATTGCGCGTGATATGGTGGGGATAGACGCCATACACAGCTTTAAATGTTGATATGATAGAGCCTTGTAGGTTCTGGAACCTATACACCAGTCGTTTAAGGGTTGAGAGGCGGGACTTAAGAGTTGTGGTTCATCCCCACAAGAACATTTTGGTGGTTGGTTGCATACAGGAACAATATGGAAGCGTTAGAAAAAGGAAAACTGTGCCAGTGAACCCTGGAGTTAAGCAACTGTTGCGGGTGGTATCCTAGGGAAGATAAGCCTATGAATACCGATAAGCCTAACTCCCTGATAACGAGATGCCAAAAACATAAACGAGCCAGTGAAAGTTGAGACGTAACTGGTAAGTGTTGATTTGTGGCGTCAGCGTAAATATTTCCAATAATGTTAGTGGATTAAAAGTAACAAAATAAGATCTAAGATGCTTGCACGTGTAGGTGTTGCTTGAGTTTAGTGTTGCGAGGAGAGCAGAGGAAAAAGTATAGGAAGTGGATATTGGGATTGTTGCGTGGGCAAGGACGATGACTTTCAAAATTGATGAAAAT